GAGATCTTAAATGTCAAAGAAGGCTTCAGGTAATAGCCTCAAGGAAAGATTTTACTTATAAAATAGTTAAGAATGTTTTTATTTTAAAACATTGAACACCTAAGTTCTGCACAACAGCTGCAACGAAAATTCTAAGCACAGACACACTGCAACATTCTAGAAAGAAATGTTACCCTCACAACAACAGCATTCTTTTTAAATACTACTAACTGTAAAAATGAAGCGCAGAAAGCCTTCAGGAAGAAGTATAAAAAACACTACACTTCTGGCTATCAGTTTTGGTCACATACTGGTTAAAAAGCTGTCAGGCTATTTTAGCATTTTACGCAAGTGAACATTAGTTAATCTTTCACCTACCAAAGTCACTAGAATCTAAACCTATTATAGTCACAAAGAATATAACAATTTTAAATGTCATCTATTAAAACATCCTTTATTCTATATCACAAGTGATTACATCTAATAAAATCAAATGAGGTCTCTCTTCAGTTAAAATTAAGACTTAGTTTCGAAATATCTTGCATAGCCTAGGGCCCCAGTTCAGCACCAATGAACTGATAAAGAAAACTAGGCAGTTAATCACTCAATTCAATACTACCTGTAAGATTTGCAAATGGAGTTTTACACTTGATTCTCTTTAACACAACTGTATTTCTTCTCTTCGATAAACATTCATGTACTCTTTTTTTTTTTTCTTGAGATGGAGTTTCGCTCTTATTGCCCAGGCTGGAGTGCAATGGCGCCATCTCAGCTCACCGCAACCTCCGCCTCCTGGGTTCAAGCGATTCTCCTGCCTCAGCCTCCCGAGTAACTGGGAATACAGGCATGTGTCACCACGCTCGGTTAATTTTGTGTTTTTAGTAGAGACAGGGTTTCTTCCATGTTGGTCAGGCTGGTATTCAACTCCCGACCTCAGGTGATCCACCCACCTCGGCCTCCTAAAGTGCTGAGATTACAGGAGTGAGCCATAGCACCCAGCCCTCATGTACTCCTTGTAAGCCTGAATTTAAAAACCTACCAAGCCTTTTTGTTGCATTACATAATAGGATCATATTTCATCAACGTTAAGCATGCATTCTCATTAAGCAGATGCTTAGCTTTTTTTAATGGCTCAAATTATTAGAAAATAAACAACTTTGTTTTTTAAAATACAGTAAAATTATTTCAATTATCTGTTTTAATTTAAGCAATACTACATATCCATAGTCATTTCTGCCAGGATACTTGATTTTAAAATCCATAAAAAAAGCATTTTGGTCCAGAAGGCTCCGATAATAGGTCAAGATTGAAATATAGCTCAAATGTAAGTTGCTAAATGGATTGAAGTCAAATCCAATTGTAAACAGTACCTCACTTTACTCCAGAAGGGTTTCTAAACAGGAATTCAAAACTGATTTGTAAAGCAATCCTATTTTAGTGCATTAGAAATGCTCACTTATACTTAAAAACAGTCTTCTCACAAGTAAATCATCTAAATATAAAAAGGATTTAAACTAAAAACCAGATGTGCTTAAATTTAGGGAAAATCCAAATGCCCTGAGTTTTTCAAAAGGCAAAATATATAGTTTTAATAGCAATTAAGTCAACATCAATACTGCCAACTTAACTACTTAAGTGGGTAGAGTTCCATCTGTGGCTTACAGAAAAGTCTCAAGACTTAACTGTAACTTAGGACCTTTTTACTGCTATCTACCACTTAAAACACTGAGACAACAGAAAAAAAAGTTACTCTGTGCAGTTTGCTAAATCTCCATTATTAACATGGCAATCTTTCAGTATGGATTAGCCTAGTTAATTATGTAATAATTACATTATTTTCTCCTTTATAACTTGAGAGGAGGCCGGGCATGGTGGCTCACACCTGTAATCCCAGCACTTTGGAAGGTGGACACGGGTGGATCACTTGAGGTCGGGAGTTCGAGATCAGCCTAGCCAACGTGGTGAAACGCCATCTCTACTAAAAATACAAAAAATCTGACTGCATGCGGTGTCTCACGCCTGTAATCCCAGCACTTTGGGAGGCCGAGGCGGGTGGATCACCTGAGGTCAGGAGTTCTAGACCAACCTGGCCAAGAAGGTAAAACTTGTCTCTATTAAAAATACAAAAATTAGCTGGGAGTAGTGGCAGGCGCCTGTAACCCTAGGTACTTGGGGGGCCGAGGCAGGAGAATCACTTGAACCTGGGAGGCGGAGGTTGTAGTGAGCCCAAATCAAGCCGTAGCACTACAGACTGGGGGACAAGAGCGAGACTTCTCAAAGGAAAAAAAAAATTGCCTGGGGTGGTGGTGCACACTTGTAATCACAGCTACTTAGAAGGCTCAGGCAAGAGGATCACTTGAACCCGGGAGGTGGAGGTTGCAGGAAGCCGAAATCGTCCCACTGCACTCCAGCCTGTGCGACAGAGCGAGATTCATCTCAAAAAATAAAAAAACTTGAGGGTAGGGTATGACAGAGTATAGTAATTCACATGCACCTATACACATTTAATGACCAGTCACGGTTCAAGTCCGCAGGAGGGGCTTATAAACTAGATTTATATTTTTTTTCCAGAAGTACTTGAACACTAGATTCTAACGGCCACCTCACAACTAGATTGGCTGCCAGTCAGCACCTACCTTTATATTAACTTCTTTGAGGAGTTATCTTTCAGTCATTAATGTCTCTACACTTTATATCACTAATCATTAATGTTCATAATTAGTATTAATACATTATTAATGTTCATAATTAATATTTACATTCAGATTACTATCCTAGAAGAAAATATTTCGAAGAAATTCTGAAGAATCAAAAATTCAAGTAGCAGCCAGATCAGTAGGCTTGCTTACTGCATTAAAATTTTAAAAAGAGGCCGGGCACAGGGGCTCACACCTGTAATCCCAGCACTTTGGGAGACCAAGGAAGACGGATCATGAGGTCAAGAGATTGAGACAATCCTGGCCAACATGGTTAAACCCTGTCTCTACTAAAAATACAAAAAATTAGCTGGGCATGGTGGCAGGCATCTGTACTCCCAGCTACTTGGGAGGCTGAGGGAGGAGAATCACTTGAACCTGGGAGGCAGAGGTTGCAGTGAACTGAGATTGCGCCATTGCACTCCAGCCTGGGCAAAAAGATCGAAATTCCGTCTCAAAAAAAAAAAAAAATTTAAGAAGATACCCAAGTTAGTCTCAATTTCAACAGGGTAAACTAAATCAGGTGTCAGACTCAGAAGATACTGGCCTTGGGCATGCTTATTCCACTCAACATTTGAATGTAGCTACCTTACAGCTTACAGTTAAAATACTTTTGTTACTTTGTTGATGTAACTACATCTACTATTCCAAATACCTCTAACAAAACACACATTTATCAAAATAAATGATTGGAAAAAAAAGATAGAAATCCCAAGATTAGAACATCTCTCAATTTCAAATAAACTCCATGAAATTCAAGTAAAACTCCCAACCTTTAATACTGAAGAGGAGACAGGAAGTATCAAACCTAAATGTTTTAAAACTCTCCCAAAATGTAAAATATATCAGTAAATAAGTAAAACTAATAAGACCTAAACATCGCCAGTTTTCTTCAACTTATTTCCCACAGCCCAAGTTTTAGCCAGTTACTATATCAGCACCTAAGTAACGCTATTAGGTATCTGGCTACATAAACACTGCAAAATGATTTCCTGGAAATTCAAGATGTTATAAAAATGTTTTCCTAGAGGCAGATAGTAGAAGTTATTAAACTTTCATTTTACTTTACAAGGTAAAATTCAAGTTAACATGATAGTCACAGACGTAATTACCTCGTTTTCACAAACGACTAATTTGTTTCTCCCCTTCCACCTCTGATCTTACTCATTTTAATTATTCACTCTGCCCAGACCTTTTCTCTACATACATACACACGCCCCTCTAAACATTAGAGTTTACACTGTCCTGCGATGAAAGCATAAAACAAAAGGCTGACTTGCAGATGAAGATATACCTCAGCAGTGTGATCTACAAGGACTAAATATTGAATCCAAAAAATCGTGGGTGTGGCTCGATTTTTTTTTTTAGAGGGGGGCCTAAGGAGGCCAGTCCGGGCGGCTGCCTGGTCTCTGCCCTCCCCCTCTGCTTTCGCTTTGTGCTCACAATGCAGCTCCAGTAAAGCGCTTCCCTCTCCCCGCAGCCGCCGCCATGTTAGACGCTCTCTCCATGTGCCCCGAGTCCCAGCCATCCTCTCCAGTCTCCCCAGGACCCAGCCCCCAACGAATCTAAATCCTGGCAGTCCCCCGCCCCTTCAGAGTCCCCTAGGAACAAAAAGTCGCTGCAGAAAATCATCTCGCGATTGAGCTGAGCGTGAGGCTCGGGGGGACACCTAAACAATTGAAACAAAGAGGGAAACGCAGGGGAGCCCATCGCATGGGGGCGGGGGTAGCAAATCGAAGATCCATTCAAAATGGGCCTGCCGGAAAGGCAGTTCTGCCTTAAGATTCTAAACACACTTCTCTCCCACGGAAGAAAAGGGGACGCTCGACAGGTCTCAAATGCATGGTAACCGAGCGGACAGACCGCAAGGCTACAGGACACAGGCCGCCCCAACTCCACGAGGCGGTTGGTTGAGCCCGGAGCCCCCCGCGCAGGGACCTCTTCATTTTGGGCCCTCGTCAGAGAAATCAGGTCTCGGAGACGGAGAGAAGGGCATCATACAGTGATGTCTTGACGACAGGCCCCCACCCTCACATGTCCCACTCCCAAAGGCCAAAAGCCAGACCCACAGCGGAAGAGTAATAAAGAGGCCTGGGGGGCAGTGCCGCGTCCGAGTCAGGTGACAAGTGCCTTCTCCAGGAGCCCGTTTTCTGGGCACGAAGCTCCCGCTGAACGTGGAGACGGGACGTGGGGACCAGGGGGTGGGAGGAGGGGACCTAGTAACGCTCCCGAGACGGAAAGAAGCGCAGACTCCAGCGACCAGGGTCGGAGGGGGCGCAGAGCCCGGCCGCAGCCACCCCTCCCTTCCCCGCCAACTCCTGGCACCTTTTTCTTCTCCAGGTTCCGAAGTTTCTTGTCGATCACCCCGAGAATCTGCTTCATGGCCTCGGTCTGGACAGCGCCGGTGCCGGTTGCGGGGTGCTGAGAAGCCGGCGCGGCGGCCCCGGCTCCCGCGGCAGCCTCACTCCCGGAGGAACCCGACGGCGGAGGCGGTCCGGACGACTTGCTGCCGCTCCCGCTGTGGCTGGTGGCCGAGGGCATCTTCAGACCGCGAGGGGAGAGAAGAAAAAGCGGGAGGAAGGACAAGAGCGGCGAGTCAGGAGACGGACGGGGCGAGACGCGGGACAAAACGCGCAGCGGGCGGGAGCCTACGCGAGCGGGTGGGGGAAGGGGCGCAGCGCGCCTCGAGGCCAGGAAGAGTGCGCGAGCGCGCGCGCGACCCGCCAGCGGGGCGCCCGGCCGGGCCTCGCACCGCCCCCCGGCCCGCCCCTCCCCCGCAGAGCCGCCGGCTCGGCCTACCAGCCCCGGGGCTCCGAGGCTCGCGCCGGGGGCGGGGCATCGCCGCGCCGGCCGCCAACGGCCAGTGCAACGGTCCCCAGCTGGGAGGGCCGGCTTTCGCCGGCTTCCAGGGAAGGGAGGAAAGAGAGAGGCCGGGGCTTGGGGGCAGAGAAGGGCATGGGAAATGGCCGGGGTGGGGTGGGGGGACTTGGGGGCAAGCCCCTCGGAAGCTCCAGCGGGTCCGGAGATAAAGGACACTCCGGCACAGCGGCCCTCTTCCCCTGCAGCGGCTCGGTCCCGGGTGGCGCTCACCGTGCGCGCGCGGAGGCCGCTGGAGATCACGAGTGGGCAGCTGAGGGGACAAGGGTGGCAGTGCCTTCCGGGCAGTGTCGCGCGCTCCGTGGGCGCAAGCCGCTTCGCCCTGTCCCGCTGCACCGAGAGCCGCTCCTAGTGAGGCGAGAGCCGGGAGCGGGAGGAACTTAGCCAGCCAGCAGCCCTCTGGGGCGCGGGGGGCGGGAGAAGCGGAGAGCGGGGGCCTTCGCGGCCGCTCGGGCTGCCCGGCGCGAACGCCTGCCTGAAAGAGGCAGCCTGCTAGCCTCTTTGCTGTCCCCTGGCCCCTGCGCTGTGGGGCGCCTCCTGGACGCAGGTGGGGATGGCCCCGCCAAGGCCGAGGGAAAGGCGCCTTGAGTTTTGAGAGCAATCAACGCTAGGGTCCTTCAGGCGAAATCGTTTGACGCCCAAGCGGGGACAATAGGTGTCAAGCAGCTGGGTCTGGAGCTGGCAACTGCCCCTTGAAGAGCCCTTATTTGGTGGGGGTGGGGGTTGGGGGGCAAAGGTTTCTGCAAGTAAGGGGTGCGTGGGGTGGGTGGTGCAATCCCGGCTTCTAGAATTCCTTCTGTATGCAGAGCGAGCAAACTCCATACCCCATAACGTCTTTTGAAAACAAGACAACTCGCCGCTTCCCCACCAAACAATCACCCAGTAACCTAGGAGTTCTCTGTAGAACGTGTCGGACACGGTCATGGTTGGTGGCTTTTTAAATCCTAAAGCTCTGGCCTCGGAGTCTTCAGCTACCCTATGATGTTATATATCCAGTAGGCCTGAGTATTACGAATTTAATTAGACTTTTGTTTCCTTTTGTTTCCGGTTTACCTAACACTGTAAAGAGAATGTTCAATGAAATACAAAGAAAATGATTGCTTTTTTTTTCCAAGAGAATTATTCCAGCCTTGGAGTGGAATGGGTGTGGACAGTGAGCAGAGAAACAAGAAACCAAGTTCTGGAAGGAAATAAAATGAATATAATCAGTGGAAAATTCAGCAACGCAATATTGTGCGACAACAGTAAATGACCAATTTATAATTTAAATTCTATGCAAAAGAGATTTAGAAGAGAGTTCTACCAAGCCCACTGTTGCCTAGGGAATAAAATGAGCAACGCTGGCTGGCAACAGTGCATCCGGAGGGAGCCTGGAGAAACAACAGCAGCCTCCGACCTCAAGATATCCTGGTTAGCTGCAAAGTCTGTTATATATTCATTGGAGTATTTATTGTGCACCTTACTGTGTGCTGGGAACTCTTAAGTGCTAGGGATTATGAGCAAAACATTTACGTGGAGCTTACATTCTAAGTAAGGGGAAGACAAGTAAATATATGGCAGATAGTGAAATGGTAGAGAAAAGAAAAAACGGTGGTCAGGGAAAGCCTTACTGACATTTGAGCTAGTACTGAAGGAAGCGAGGAAGGAGGCTAAGCAGCTACCTTGGAGGAAAATTTTTTCAGGTAGAGGAAACACCAAGTACTAAGATCTAAGAAGGCGTGTGCTTGCTGGGTTCAAGGAACAGCATGGAAGCCATAGTGGCAAGAGCAGAGAGTAGGAGATGAGGTCAAACATATAAAAGGGGGCTGGTTGGCCCGGCGTGGTGGCTCATGCCTGTAATCCCAGGACTTTGGGAGGCCGAGGTGGGCGGATCACGAGGTCAAGAGATCGAGACCATCCTGGCGAACACGGTGAAACCCCATCTCTACTGAAAATACAAAAAAATTAGCCAGGCGTGGTGGCGGGCGCCTGTAGTCCCAGCTTCTAGGGAGGCTGAGGCAGGAGAATGGCGTGAACCCGGGAGGCCGTGGAGCTTGCAGTAAGCAGAGATCGCGCCACTGCACTCCAGCCTGGGCGACAGAGCGAGACTCCGTCTCAAAAAAAAAGGGGGGCGGGGGGAACTGGTCTTGTAGGGCCTGAAAGACTGTGGTAAGGACTTTGGCTTTTGCTGCATTCGATGGGGAGTCCTAGTTTCAAAATTTAGTCACCTAAACCATGCTTAGCACTACGCTGAGCAATTATGCCAGGCCTAGAGGCTAGAAAGGGAGATGATAATCCTTTAGCTCCTTGCAGCTCAAAGTTTATTCAGCCCAACCTCTCTCACTACCACTGTCACTACTATCTTGGACTCCATAGCAGACTTAACTGAATCTGCATTTTTAACAAGATCTTCAGGAGATTTGTGTGTACATTAAAGTTTCGAAAATCACTGCTTTATTCCTCAGAACCTGACCAATGTCTAAAGTTTTATTGGGACACATCCACATCCATCTACATCCATTCTATGACTGCCTTTCTGCCATAGCAAGGCAGAGTTGAGTAGCTGGGAGTGCAGCAGACAGTAAGGTGTGCAAAACCTAGACTACTATCTCTTCCTTTACAATAAAAGTGTTTGCCAATCCCTGGTTTAAAACTACAAATGGGAGCAGGTAAAGGGGCTCACACCTGTAATTCCAGCACTTTGGGAAGCCAAGGCTAGCAGATCACTTGAGGTCAGGAGTTCGAAACCTGGCCAACATGGCAAATCCTGTCTCTACTAAAAACACAAAAAAATTTGCTGGGTGTGGTGGCGCATGCCTATAATTACAGCTACTCAGGAGGTTGAGGCACGAGAACCCGGGAGGCAGAGGCTGCAGTGAGCCAAGATCGTGCCACTGCATTCCAGCTTGGACAACGGAGTGAGGCTGTCTCAAAAAAAAAAAAAAAAAAAAAGCAAAAAACAACTACAAATGGTACACATCTGTCACAGTTCAACAGAATGCCCTGCTCATAGTAGTCACTCAGTAGATTCATGCTGATGCCATATCTCAAATGTTGCTGATCACTGTACCACAAGAGAACTCAGGAATATCTCAGTCAATTAAATGCTTTAGACAGGTAGATATGCATCACATCTGCTTAAATTCATTGGCCAGAAAGAGTCACATGACCCTATCTAACCATAAGGGAGTCAAGAGATGGTATTCTATCAGATACCGGATAGCAAGCAGGTGAACCAGAAATATTTGGTGAATATATGTAGCTGTCACGCTTTCACTTCCTATGTCATCCCAATCCCATTTCACTGGTGTTCTGACATTCTGCAGTTGTCTGTTCAGGTCAGCAAGTCCAGAAAGACCAATAAATTTAAGGCAAAGCTGTGTCCTAAAGCTGACTTCCTGCCCAGCTCAATGCCAAGGTCTCAGTCATTCAAATTTGTCTATTTCCTGCTTGACCAAAAGAGGACTGAAGCTATGTTTATGTGAATTTTAAATACTCATTTTTTAAACCCTTTTTTCTAATACAGAGCTATGCAGTAGCTTGAGGTCATTGTATCATAGAAGAAATAAAGAGTTCCCGGAAAACACGGTGGAAGAGCAGAATATGTTTATAAATGGTTTATAAATTTAAAAACCTTGGTATACTTTAATATATGCCAATATTAAATACATTAACATAAAGTAAATACAACAATATGCATAATACATTTCAATAACGCAAATCTTTCAAGCTGACATTTGCTTGTTCCATTCATTAGACCCCAGCACTTTGAAGTCTCCACAGTCGAAGTGAATAATTAAACTATCCTGATCATTTTAGCAAAATAATTCAACTGCTTCAACTTGAATCATCCAATAAGCTAATGCTAAGCTTATTTGTAGCAAAAGAGGGGACTCTTCATCTGAATTACATAAACTGCCTCTTTGCTTCAGGTTGACAGAAACCTGACCAGAGTGTGAACTACACTGTTCACATAGCTAAGGCTCTTAAAGTCTTTTAAATTTGTTTTTCAATCATTTTACAAGTCAGTAATAGACATTTCTATCATAATTTTTCCAGTACAGTCTTTTTTATTATAAGTCAATCAATGATTGTTTGTCTATGTGTCCATAAAGCACCACTAAACTCTAAGCTTTTCAAAGAAAAAGAGCAGTCGTTTTTTCATCTCTGGATCCTCATAAGCAATAGCATGCCCAGCACAACTATTTTGTTACTAAGTATTGCCTACTGTATTAACATTTCAGTGCGGTTATAATATTATTATTACTATTGGTCCATACTGTTTCTGAATTCTTACATTGTGGTCATCAGCTGAGATAACATCCTTTTCCGCTTATATTTTCCTATGTACACCTTTTCTTACTTGTAATATTATAGAAGCAGAACTTCATGCCGGATGCGGTGGCTCACGCCTGTAATCCCAGCACTTTGGGAGGCCAAGGCGGGCGGATCACGAGGTCAGGAGATCAAGACCATCTTGGCTAACACAGTGAAACCCCATCTCTACTAAAAATACAAAAAAACTAGCCAGGCATGGTGGCGGGCGCCTTTAGTCCCAGCTACTTGGGAGGCTGAGGCAGGAGAATGGCATGAACCTGGGAGGCGGAGCTTGCAGTGAGCCGAGATCGTGCCACTGCACTCCAGTCTGAGCAACAGAGTGAGACTCTGTCTCAAAAAAAAAAAAGAAATAGAACTTCATGTTTTGTAGAGGTACAATATGTTCAGAATAGTTATTTCAGATTTCATGAAATACTGTTGTTATTGAACACTCTTAGAAGCTACACACTTGACTCAACGTAAAAGCAAAAACAGTGGTATGTGCTTGTTATCCCAGCTACTTGGGAGGCTGAGGTGAGAGCATTAGTTGAGCCCAGGAGTTCGAGGCTGCAGTGAGCTATGATCATGTCACTACACTCCAGCCTGGGCAACAGAGTGAAACCCAGAATCTAAAAAATAAAAATAAAAATTTTATTTTTAATAAATAAATAATAAATAAAAATAATAAAAAATTTTTATTTTTATTTTATTTTACTTATTTATTTTTTTGAGATGGCGTTTCATTCTATTGCCCAGGCTGGAGTGCAGTGGCAAGATCTCGGCTCACTGCAATCTCCACCTCCCGGATTCAAGCTGTTCTCCTGCCTCAGCCTCCTGAGTAGCTGGGATTACAGGTGTCCGCCATCATGCCTGGCTAATTTTTGTATTTTTGGTACAGGCAGGATTTCACCATGTTGGCCAGGGTGGTCTTGAACTCCTGAGCTCAGGCAGTCTACCTGCCTTGGCCTCCCAAAGTGCTTGGGAATACAGGCCTGAGCCACTGTGCCCGGCCTAAAGATAAAAATTTTTAAAAAGCAAAAACACTTTGGCCACAGGCACTAAAATCTTTCATGTAGTTACTTACATGAATTGTATGTTGTCTTAACATCATGTTTCTATTTCAGTGGTTCCCAACCTGTGGTGATTTTGTCCCTTGGGGA